GGGTACAACAAACAAGCTTAAAGCAGCAACATTGCCTGGAGAGATCTGACTGTACTCAATACAGAACTGAAAGAAACAAAAGATCAATAGCTGATCTTGTTTTACTTCTCTCTCTCTTTGTGTGTGTGTGTGTGTGTGTGTGTGTGTGTGTGTGTGTCAGTGTGATTTTTCTGTGCACTGTTGTCTTTTCTTCATAGCTTCGCAAAATATATGTGAGGTCACTTCTAAAATTGTTTGTTCAGATATACATAAGTGTATTGCAATACATGTGTACTTTTATAACAATGTACAGTACAATTATGATACATTCACTTAATTTCTACATTAATATCTGCAGGGCTTAAACTTAACACTGACCAAACTCAGCACAAAAGCCTGCTCCATGTTTGTGCATCTCCAAGAAGGAAAAGAGTTAAATACAGAATTGGGTGAAAACATGATTCCACATACGTGGGAAATGCTGGATAACTCAGTATTTTGTCATGGTTTTAGCTTTTCCTAGAGACTGCCAGATAGCTAGACCTGTGTAGTCATACAGAAGGTTCCCAAATGTACTAAAAGACAAAACCTAGTTAGCTCTTACACACACCTAACATACACCTTACACAACCCTACTGGATACAGGAAGGCTTTGAATCCTGGTTATTACAGTAATGCAACTGGATGAACTTTTCACCCACTGTGCTTTATCTCAATGACTTTCTGAGCTAAAATGGATTATGTATGAAGGAGAGTTCAAACACAGGTGGAGCACAGAGTGCAGCTCGCTGCGCTAATGCTACAACGAAATGTCCAAGAACAGTGCACCCATTTCTCTAACCAGTGGTAAAGCAGCCATACACTGTGTTTTTTTATCTTCCCCTACAAGCATAAAACCCTTGTTACAGAACTGTAATAAATGTCATTTAATGGATAATTAAACACAGGTCTTTTTTAAAGGCAAAAAGTCTCAGGAATCGAAAGAATAAGAGATAAACTACCTTCAAAATCATGTGGCAACGTGGCCTTACCCAATCTCCAGTTTACTCTGGCATTCAAGTGCCTTTCATTCATTCAAATCAGCTGTGAATGCACTAAAAACATATATTTTTTGTTTTAAAGTCTAGATTTGTTTAATTCTTTTCGGTCTCTCTTTGCGGTTTGCCAGGCACTGTGAATGTCCTCTATGTTGGAAAAGCGCTACACAGACAAACAGCACTTGGCTTGTAATTCGAACTATGAGGTGTAATAAACAAGGATATGAGTCTAAATATGATTCATTGAGATCTCCTTGGCTGTTTGCTTATTTTACAAAAGAAAAGACGATGAAAAAAAAAAGCAGACAGAGCACCTTTTCTACTCCAACTGTCTTATAGAAAGTAAGCAGCATTTAAAAATCTGACAGAGTTTGAAAAGACATCTGAGCTAAATGCTACAACATAGCTCCTTTTTTTCAAATCACGAAAAAAATGACAGTAATTCTGAATGAGCCTTCTGTAAACAGTTAAGTGGCAATCCTGCATCTCTTACATAACTGTTTTACTGAGCTAATGTTGCCTGGTGACAAACATAATCACAGCGACTAAGCAAATTTGGATGGAAGGGCTTGGCAACAGAATTTGGTTGAGGGCAGAAACAATCAAACAGCAAACACAACATCCCCAGACAGATTAGGCGCTCTAGGTTTGGGCCAGTAAGAGCTTGTAAGTATGTCAGCATGTCTCGACCTGTAATTGTACGGTATGCTGTGCTTTGTGCCAGTGAGGGCAATTTTGAAATTACTAAAAAGCAGCACAGAGATGAGTCACTCACAATATTTAGCAAAATGTAACCAGCAGTGGATGAGATGTGACACGCACATGGATAAATGAACAGGCACAATTAAAGACATGAGCAAAGATTTAACACACTACTGTACAAAACTCTTGAGCTTCCCCTTGTTTTTCATATTTTGCTTCTAAAGAGATGGACTTATATTCTTTTTAAAGTGGTCTTGAGCAACAGTTCTCCAAGTTTTTTGGGTCAGGCTTTCCAAAGTTTTTTCTTTTAACTTTGAATGGTTTTTCACTCATTTTCAGTCCAGTTCATGCACTTGAACATTTTTAGAGGAATGTTGTTTTTTGTTTGTGTTTTAAGACACTAAACACTGACCGATGAATCATTCAAGCATGAAACGGCACCCAATGTAAGGGATGAACCAGTGTTGCGTCTACACATAGACAGGGAACCAGTTTGGTTCAGAACCAAAGGCACTTTTTGTTACTAGCAGCCTGTTGCAAAAACACAGAATTTGTTCCATTGGGGGAAAAGGGAAAAAAGGACTGAGGTATGCCAAGTGAATAGAGCTCAGGAGAGAGTTAAAACAGTGAGCGTCTCACACTTTCTTTAAAACACAGTGGAGGCTCTGTCATGTCTTGGGGCTGCATTTGAGCCAGTGTTGCTGGGGATGTTTTTCAGAATTGATGGAATTGTGAAAGCAGAAGAAAAAGTACAGCCAGATATTGAGCCACCATGAGATATCATCTGGAAACACCTTGGCAGTGGCCTTATTTCTCAATGACAATGACCACACTGTCAATGCCTGGATAGAAAAATACACAATGACACACTATCAGTCATGGATTGGCCTCCCCCAGAGTTATTGAAGCAGTGTGGGATCATGTTGACAGAGAACAGAAGAAAAGGCAGCCAACATCCAAAGAAGAGCTCTGAATGTCCTTCAAGAAGCCTGGAGAGCTATTCCCGAAGCGTACATAAAGAAATAACCAGAAAGCTCACATATGTCGATAAATTGCTTCATCTATTTCCTATACAGAGAAATGAGGGATGGCTCAAGACCAGTTTTGGGAAGGTTACTTTTAAAATGTATTCCACTACAGATTACATGCCAAAAAATATATTTTGTAACGTATTCCATTACGTTATTCAATGAGAGTAACATATTCTGAATACTCTGGCCTTGAGGCGACTTTTGTTGTGATTTGGTGCTATATAAATAAAATTGAATTGAATTGAATTCTGGATTACAATATTTTATCAAGCTTTTTACAACTACATGAATGTACTATTGCTGTGTGATTTATTACTATTACTGAAGGTTACTCGCCATACCAATACCAACTAGATTTTTAAATCTTAATATAAAATGAGTAACAGTAGGGTGGACATTAGGTAAGGCTGCACTTTTAGCAGCGATCTCGTGTAGAAAACTATTCTGCACGTATATAAAAACAGGTCCGCGGCTCCGAACCGTAGTAAATGGACGTCTGGCTAATATGTCAGGTCCCGTGTCGGGCTCGTAGCTGAAAACTAGCTTTACTTTGTTGTCTGGATCAACTTTGCCCGCGAGAGACAGAGAGAGGCTTTGAAAGGCTGCTCCAATGGAACTTATTGTTTCAGAGAAAAACACGAAAAAAGTGTACAGTCGAGTCTTAATAGCTTACTTACAACTGGGCTACACTGCCTTCATATTAAATAATTTTTTGAACAATAATTTTTAAAAACATTTCGTCACGTCATTATGCGGGCTGC